ATTCTTTGGTGTTTTGCCTGCATGTATGCTTATGTGAGGATATCAGATCCCCTAGAACTAGAGTTAGAGAGAGCTGTAAGCTATCATGTGGGTGCTGGGAATTGAACCTGGGTTCTCTGGAAGATCAGCCAATATTCTTAACCAGTGAGTAATCTCTCCAGTCCCCAGAATCCTTTTTTAAAATTCTTCTCTCATATATTACATCCCAACTGCAGTTTCCCCTCCCTCATCTCCTCCCAATCTCTTCTCCCCAATTTCCCTCTCCCCTAGATCCATTACTCTTCCTTTTTCTTCAGAAAAGGGTTATCAACCAAAATTATATATCAAGTTGCAATAAGACTAGGCACTTACCCTCATATTAAGACTGGAGGAGGCAACCTAATAGACCTAAAACCTATGCAAAACAAAACAAAAAAAAAACCCTGAAGGTAATTGATAAAGGCTGGGAATAGAAGAGGTGGTCTTCCCCAGGAATGAACACACCAATTGGTTTTCCAGTGTCAATAGGTCAGCCCTGAAAACATACATACAAGGAACATTATACAGGATATATTTCAGAACATATATGTATATACATTTATGATTGTAATACAATTGATGGTAAGGGGAAGCCATGAATTTGATGGAGATTGAAGGAGTGTGTAGGAGGGTTTGGAGGCAGAAAAGGGAAGGGATAAATGTTGAAATTATATTATAATCTAAATTTTTAAAAATACATTAGAGAAAATAACCTCATTAACAAATGATGATGGAAAACTGGATATTTACATGTAAAAGAATGAAACTAGACCTTTATCTCACATCTCTCAAAAAAGTCAACTCTAGATGGATTAAAGACCTTAATATAATTCTGAAAACTATGATGGAGTGGTGTGAGAGAATTGTCTGTATTCTGCCAATCATGGTTTAAATACACGCTGATTGGCCAGTAGCCATGCAGGAAGTATAGGTGGGACAACCAGACAGGAAGTAGAAGCAGGGAAATGAGAAAAAGAGTATTCTGGGAAGGACTCTCTTTCCACAGTCCTGTTCATACACCAGAGAAGCTTAACTTTCTCTGTTAAAAAAGGTACTGAGCCATGTGGCTAACATAGATAAGAATAATGGGTTAATATACATTATAAGTGTTCATAAGAAGCCTGAGCTAATGGGCTAATCAGTTTATAATTAATATAGACTTCTGTGTAATTTGTGGGACTTGGTGGGAGGATAGAAACCAAGCAGGTCCTCTTGTTACAATGGAGGAAATAGGGAAAACATTCCAAGATTTAGGCATAATGTAAGTTCCAAATAAGATTCTGGTTTTTGAGCCAAGCATAATTGTCATCAGAGACATTTCATTCAGGAACAAATGGGAGCAGATGTAGAGACCCAAACCAAATCTTAGGCAGAGCTCAGGGAAATTCCGAGGAAGAGGAGCAGGGAGGATTATGGATCCAGAGGGGTTAAAGATACCAAGGGAACATGGGGACTACAGAACCAATTGAGCAGGGCTCATAGGGGCTCACAGAGACAGAAGCAGCAATCACAGACACTGCCTGGATCTGACCCAGAGCCTCAGCATATATGTCATGGTTGTGTAGCTTGGTGGTTTTGTGGGTCTCCAAACAATAGGAGTAGGTGGTGTCTCTGACTCTCTTGCAGGTACTTGGGACCCTTTTCTCCTATGGGATTGCCTCATTCAGCCTTTTTATGGGGGTTTGCATCTTATTATGCCATATTTGTTTGATATGCCTGGGAAGCCTATTCTTTTCTGAAGAAAAACAGAGGAGTGGATCTGGGGGAGAGTGGGGAAGAGTGGAGGTGAGGAGAGGCACTGAGAGGAATGGAAGGAGAAGAGGCTTCTGTAGGGATGTATTGCATAAGAGAACAAAAAGAAGAATCCCTTATATTCATTGACAATTTGCATTGCTTTATTTGTTTCTATTTCATTAATTTCTGCTCTTGCTGTTGACTGGATTTGAATTTGGTTTCTTCTTGTTTTTCCATCATTAAGTCATCTATTTGTGCTTTTACTTCTTTTTTAAAATAATGTAGATACTTAGCACTACAAATTTCTCTTGTAGAACTGCTATCAGTGTGTCTAAGAGATTTTATTTTCTTGTGTTTTAATTTTCATTTATTTCCAGTAGATTTTCTTTTCCTTTATTTCTTCGATTGGTTCACCATTAAACATTGAATTGTTCTATCTCCAAGAGTTTCTGTCTTTCCTAATGATGTGTTTGCCGAGTATTTTACATTTATTACATTGTAGTCAGAACACAACAATTGTTCCAACTTCTTTGAATTTGTAATGTTTTATTGTCATAGTACATGGTCTATTTTAGAGAAGCTTCCATGTGCTGCTGAGTAGAATATATATTCTTTGGTGTTTGGATGGAATATTCCATAGGTAATTTAAGTAATGAACCAGCGACCTAACTCTAATGCACAAGTTCCAACTTGTAAAAAAGTACAATAAAACCAATGCTATGTTTTTACACAGTTGTGCAATTTTATGTGTTTCTGTCTTCAGGTGTTACAAAAGTCCAGGAAGTTTAAAAACTTTTCTAAAACTTATTTTACTATAGCAAAAGAAGACAACAAGCTGAAACCTGCACAGGCATCTAGGAGAGCCTCCCAAACACCCTTTATCGTTCAAATTCCTTATCTTCAATAGACTTCATCTTTCTTACGCAAATAAAGCAAAATAAAAGCCTAATTTTATTAGAGCAGAAGTGATTTATTTTAGGGCATGGACAGAAAAGGGATGAAGCATAAGTGTTATTTGTTATGTGCACACATTGCTTCTGAAGCTGGACAATAAAGGAAAGCTGTGTGGAGCTCCCTTCAGCCATTTTGAGGTCAGTGTACAGGCTAGGAATACAGACAGGAAGAACATCACTGTGCACAGGAGGAAAATCTGCCCACCTTCCATCTCACATCACTCATGTGCAATCTTCAAACTTCAAAACCATAAGTGCTAAAACATGCAGATAAGAAAGTAATAGCTTGTTTAAATTAACTTTAAAAATTAAAAATAAGTTGAAGTCTAACATTCCTATTTACCTACAACCAATTAATGTAGAGCTGTGTAGACTTCTGAGACAGGTCTTCCTCCTTGTGTAGTTTTCTATTACTGAGATGACTATTTATGGGGCCGGGGAATGAAGAAGTGAGATCAGCTGAGCACTTACAACTGCCAAGCACTTTAACACTATTTAACTAACGCTCACTGACCCTGAAACTACGTGAGTTCTGATTCATACTGAAGAAACGGAACTTCACAGGATAACATGATCAATCTTGTCACAGGACCTACCATAAAACAAGCACCAATATCCTTTGGAATGGATAGTTGGTGATGGACCAAGTATAAAAGAACCAGGACAGACTTAGTTCTACGCTATGTCCCCTCCCTCACTTTCTCTACCACAGTCCATTGCCACCAGGCAAAACACTTTTAATGGCTAAAGATCACTGCCAATGTAAACCCAGTGAATACACCCAACAACCTATGATTTCAGGACTCTTTTAATTTCAAAATATATGTTTCATGAAGAGCGAAAAAGAGAAAACACAGAGAGTCTTTGAGGACCTTTAAAATGATTTAATAAGTATTTCACAGGAAAATAACAAAATTCATAGGAAAATAGTATGTGTACGGAACATTTTATTGGTTAATATAGCTTGTATCATTTTTGCTGAATTCTGATGACATTGTCCTAAATTGTTACTTTAATATAATCTTTTCACTTCTTTGTTCCACACAGCAAAAGAAATTACTTGAAAATGTTAAAATCAACACAATATAGCACTCTTTCTTGACTATTTTGTGCCCAGCATTAAAATATGTTCCAACTTTTATAGTAACTTTATATATATTTTCTTACCTATTGGCAAATAAATTAATCAGTGAATTGACTCATCTCTTATGGCTGGCCAAAAATATAAGGAAAATATAAGTATAAAAACTCCAAGATGCTTAATTTGTAGCACATGCAGATTCAAACTTTCAGTGTGTTTAAAACTTATCATGAAAGAGAGGGTTTCTCTTTGCGTGTACCCACTGTACTTGCAAGGTAATTGCCAATTTTCAAAAATTTATAACAGAGGGCTTTTATTGGGAGATAAAATTTGTAAAACAATGCCATCTTCATCATAAACTAAAAATAAACGAGGACTTAAAAATATGAATTACAAAAGATGGTGGCTTCAAACACAGACTATACTCAGCGAGCCAGGGGCCACCAAGAAGAGAAGGCCATTGCTTTTTTACGATCTAGCCCCTGAAAACCTCATTTGATAAACCCAGCTGGATTTTCTATACTGATGCCTAGTTCCAAATTTGATTTGGTTCCATAATAATTTTCATTTTACCTGCTATTAAAAGAAAACAACAGGATTTTACCAACAGAATGATAATTATTGGGTTTGGTCTCGAAATTAATCAGTAGCAAATATTTATCTGGTTGAGTTAATAATCTTCATAGCATTCAAACTATTACAAGCCAAAGTGCTTAGAAACACTTGGACTGGAAATGATTTTAAAGGTTCTTATAAGCTATTAAAACTCTCTCTCCAGGGCTAGTAGGAAGCTCAGAGCACGTGGGAGTTGAGGTAGCTACCACAACCCCCAGGCTTCTCAGAGTCTGCGCAGTCTTCATGGCTCAGAGGGTTTGGGCTGATCCATGAGCTCCAGGGAAACTAGAGCAATGTATCTAGCTGGGTTGAAAAGGAATAATTTATCCTTGGTTTCTTATATTGTTATTTTGCATACACATTTCCTCAAAACTCTAAAATGAACATTTGTTGATGAGGTATGAGATGTCTTAAATCAGTTATGAGGTAAGCTTGGCAGGCTCACAGTTGATGTAAACAGTAATTTATCCTTAGTAACCAGTAACTTTAAATAATTGTATCTTCTTTTAAAGTGTCTCTTAGGAAAGCTTGTGATTTTTATTGTTGCTGGAAGTGTTCTGTTTTGACATCTTTGCGCAGAGTGATGGAGAGCCTTGTTCTCAGTTAATCTTCAGGACTCTGTACATACTATTCTGAAATACTGTGGTGAAGTAAGGCTTGGCATTCTTGAGCAGGACACTGCAGAGGGGAGGATTAGCTGCATTGGAAGGGTCTTCCACATCCCAGATTTCAAGCATACTGCAACCAGGTCTGAAAGATAAATGGAATAGATAGCCATAGTAAATAAATTAACATATTCAAATTAAATGATAGCTTCTAAATTTCTAGAGGCTAATTGATTTAACTATTAAAAATCTTCAAACCATACCTTTAGAAACCTGTCAACATATGCTGACAATAAATGCAAAATATGGGATCAGAAATCTATAACTGAAATAGTTTACCTCCAAAATAAAACATAGCTATACTTGTGGACCACGATTCCCATCCAGTCATAAGATCTGTTTTGTAACTGGATGAGCTAAATTAAAGAGAGCTAATTAAATTTCTTAGAAGATTTTTTTCCCTTGAATTAGTATAAACACATCCAGGCAGAGAAAGGAGGTTCTTAGGTTCTGTTGCTTTCTTTAGCCCTTCCCTTTTGGGGAGTGGTAATAAAAGCACACTGAGGGGTATAATGCCTTGATAGAGAGTAACCTACATAGGAATCATTCATTGAAAGAAGGCAGGCAAAACTGACATCAGATTTTTGAAGTGTATTTTGAAGTCTAACGTATAAAATCCTGACATTTCTCATGTAAAGTTAGACTATATGTAAGGATCATCACAACCAATTCAGAGACATTCCTATCACCTAACAAGTTCCTATGCCCTTCTTGTAGCCAGTCTTCTTCCCCATGGCCTACAGCATTTATAGTTCCATGCAAACACATTGAGTGAGCCTTTCATTTCTGGCCTTTTTATCTTAGAATACTGCACTGTGGATACCTTGGATACTGTTTGTCCTGGTGAGCTTAAATGTCAAGTTGTCACAACCTTGAAACACTTGAAACACAACACTTGAAAAGATAGCTTCAATTCAGGAATACATCAGGTTGTCCCATGGGCATGTTTGTGGGGGATTGTGTTGGTGGTTAATTGATGTAGGAGGACCCAGCCACTGTGGGCAGCACCAATCCCATGACAATCTAGCTGAGGGGCTGGAGAAGCGACCCAGTAATTCAGAACACAAACTGCTCTTGCAGAGGACTTATGTGCAGGTGGCTCACAAATGCCTGTATCTCCAGACAGGAAATCTTATGTCCCTTTGTAACCGTCATAGACACCTGCAAACATGGCATACACACATGCAGAAACATACACACACATTCATAAGTAAATATTTTAAAATATAAATGCGAATCTAGATGAGCATGATGAGCCTTTGAGCCTTTCAGCAAGCAACATCCTCCATGGTTCCTGCCATACTTCTTTGGGGTGAGCTCAGTTCCTCAGTCTAAAACCCAGTGTGTGTGTGTGTGTGTGTGTGTGTGTGTGTGTGTAATTATATGGTAATAACAGCAATGTGTAATAACACGGTAATAACAAGCAAGTCTGCCTTTACGTTCGTGAATGCCTGACATTACTTCCCTCATGATGAATTGTGACCTAGAATTGTTAACCAAATAAACACTTTTCTCCCATAATTTGCTTTTTGTCTGGGTATTTTATTATAAAAGATAAAATGAGAATATTATATTTCTTGTATAGTACTATTGCCCTTACGTCCCTAAGCAGTATTTTATGACACAAAAGTACTACAGTTTCTTTGCTGTTGATTCTCAAATTACAGAACATTTGGAGCATTTGAGTCCTGGTGACAGTGATTAACATTAATATGAGGACAAATTACAACTTATTTTAGGCAAACACTAAGCAGCAGAACTGAAAGGCAGACTGCTAAATGTGATTCATAACTTTATAGTTCAACATTATCTTCCAAAGTGACTGTAATGCTTTCTGGTTCTAAAAACAATGTATGTAATTTCAAATTGTTCTTTATTTACATAGAAATGTGGTACTACTAGTCTTCATAATTTTACTCATTTTAGTATTGTTATGGGTCATTTAGAATATCTTCTCCGGTACAATTTGCCAAATTTTGTGTAGTTTCTTATTAAGTTTGAGAAGTTTAAATATCTTATCAAATGTTCTAGACATAATATATAAAATACCAATACTGTATATCGATATATATAGAATATATATGTATATACTTATATATAAATGCATATATATGCATTTGTATATTGTGTATTTACAGATTCTTATCAGAGTATCAGAGTTCTATGTACTTCTCAATTGGTTATGTTATTTTATTTGATGTTGTATATCCTTGAGGATTTCAACAAAGCTTCTGTATCACTTGCTAAGTGTTGCAGTGTCAAATTGTATTTACCGGTCTGTTTCTACTTCTGAGCCGTCAGCCTTTGTTTCACACGTACGCGTGCTCTGTTTTACCCACAGACATTCATTGCCACAATCATTCCATCATCCCACTGTATTGGACTGCTCAGCATTGGGCCGTTATCCTTTGGTGCTGTGTTTTAATATCTATTTTATCTGATAAGAACTACATGCTTTCCATAAAATCAAGTAAAACATTTAGTAATAGCACTCCATTACCTGCTGCGTCATTTTATTTTTATTTTAAATTTTGTGCTTTAGTAGCTGCTTTTCCATCTGAGGCTGAGCATTGTTCTTTTGAGGTCTGTAAAAGACTGTGTTGGGATTTTAATGGGATTGCATTAACTCTGTAGATAGGTTTTGGTAAGAGTGCTATTTTTACTATGTAAATCCAATCTACCCATGAACATGGGAGAGCTTTCCATTTTCTGATACTTCTTCAATTTTTTTCTTCAAAGACTTAAAGTTTTTAGTCATATAGATCTCTCACCTGTTTGGTTGGGGTTACTCCAAGATATTTTATATTATTTGTGGCTATTGTAAAGGGTGTTAATTCTCTGATTTATTTCTCGGCCCATTTATCATTTTATATTAGTAGTTGTTTATGGATTCAAACAGAACTCTTCAAAATATCTTTTGCTGGATAGTAGGCTGAATTGTTTTCAGTAAATAAAGCTTTATATTTCTATTTATTCTTTTTTGTGCTATTGTAATGTTATTCACATTTAATCTCAAGAATATGTTGATATTTTCTTTTATTTCACAAAATTTTAAAATGTTCTCATAGAAGAACAATACGGTGATTAGCATGTGCAAATTCTAGCACATTGCTGTGATCCCTGCATCTGAGCTGCAATCAGGAATTATTTCTCTACAACATAGAGAACTCTAGGCCTCCTCAAAGTGGAAGTTTGCTTGCAAGATGCCTCTTAGGTTTCATTAGTCTGAACACCGTCAGCTGACCCTCCTGTACAGATGAAGTTCATCAGACACCATCAGTCACCCCTCTGTACAGATGAAGTTCATCAGAACAGTCAGCCGACCCTCCTGTACAGATGAGTCTCACTGAGTATAGAGTTCTATGCTCATTCCAGCATCAGATGATTAGCATCTTCCTGATGAGACGTCAGATGTCCATCATGGTGTGCTTGCATCTTCTCTTCAAGACAGTCCTCCACTTGCTCTTTCTGTTGGACTGCAGGGTGCCTTGACATGCTCTTTCCGTTGGGCTGCAATAAGCCTTTCTCTGGACTTGCCCTGTGTGGATTTGTTGAACTTTGTAGGGGATCTCTCAGTTCATGGCTTTCACAAACCTCAGAGACTTCGACATTTCTTCAGCTCTCATTTCCTACCACTTGTCTTCTCATTCTCTCTGGTCCTGTGCTCTGTTCCAGCTGCTCCCCTCATGTTCAGTCACTTAGTTATGTTGCCCAAGTCTCTGCAAGTTTCCCTTAAAAACAATTTAGATAAGCCCTGTTCTTATTAGTTGCTTTTCCTTGGTCTACTTCAATTCACTGCATTTTTATTGTTGTAGCAAATAAACTTTTCTGTTCAGCACTTTTAAGTGTTTCATCTGATGTATTTTCCTGCTAGAGCTCCTAACAGAGGTGGTTTAGCTCTGTTGAGACAGTGTATCTTTCCACTAACTGATGGTAAATTCTACTTTATTTCATGCCCCCCTTTTTGTTTGTTTGTTTGTTTTTGAGAGAAGGTTTCTCAGAGACCCTGGCTATCTCTGTAGACCCTGCTGTACTCCAACTCTGAGATCCACCTGCCCTCCAGTGCTGGGATTAAAGGCATGGCCCATTTTTATTGTTGCTAGAACAGAAGCCAGGGTCTTATGCATGCCAGGCAAGTGCTGAACCTTGGAACTGTATCCCAGGACTATTTTTTATTAAATCTTTGAATAGTGAATATGGACTCTATATATGCTTAATCAAATATTCTGAATCAGTTTCTGATAACTTCCCATGTTCAGAGTTTTGGTCCCATTTTGCCATCATGTGTATGACTAATAAGTGTGGCATGAAAAGTGGACACTATAGGTAATACAGTCTAATGACACTGGAACCTGTATTGATCTTCTGACTGATGAATGGGAATGTTGTTATAGGCAACAATTTACTTGCATGGATCTGTTGATACCTCTACTCAGAAATATAAACAATAACCTCAAGAAATACACTGAACATGTTTTTTATTTTTGAAAATGCAAATGTAAAAAAATTATAATTTTTTATTTACTAAGTCATCTTCAGTTACAAGAAATTTTTAAGCTTTATTGTCAAATCTAATTGAGTAACAGTAAGAGATACTTCACTAATAATTCAGGCATCAATAGAAATAAATATTTGAAAAATTGTGGAATATGTATTTACAATAGATATTGTAACCTGACTGGAGAATTACATGATGAATATCTATGCTAAAATACCTTATTTTCTCAATCTTCTGTTTCCATATACATATATCCGTGCAAAGTAAGTATAAAAGGTCACATAAAAATTAAGATATTAAAATATAATTTAACAGTTATTATGAGAATACAGTACATTTTAATTTCTCTAGATGAACTTATTATATCATGTGTTGTGGTAGTAATATTTTAACATGATGTTTCTAAAATATAAAGCCTTAACGAATCAGGGCTTCTACAAAGCAGCATTTTATCACGACATAATAACATGGGATGGTTTTTGATTTAACAACATATCATATGATACATAATATTGATACTCACTTAGTTCTCACAACACACCATGCTTCTTCTAAAACATAATAATTCACATGTAATTCCAACAGTTTATCTCTCACTTCTACTGCAGGTTTTCGACTATATGCAGAATAAGCTATTTTTGTTCGAGCCCTTTAAATTTAAAAACAGTAATTACAAACATATTTACAGAAATATTGCTAGCAAATTGATAATATAACTCTCAGTGGATGAAGATGGATCTGTATGATCGAATTAAGCAGCTGCTTTGAGAGATTGGTTTTCACACAAATATTTATGTTTTTAATGTGCTGAATGTTAAAGCAGTTTGAAGTTTGTTATATCTAAGCTAATTTAAAGCTGTACTGTGTGGCAGGCTGATAGTTTAGGTTGTAAATTTTGCTTCACATAACCCACAAAAGTGTCTGCTAATAGAATATAGTCACCTAGAAGCCGGGGCTTGTAGCAATATGGATTCCAGTAGATAGTCTCCCATCTAGGAACAGATAAATTGAGATGAAATTCTGCCAAAGAAGTATTTAGCAGTGGGCATCCAGGATACTACCACAGATAGGAAAAGCCAGGATGTTCATTTAAATATGGCACAATAGAAATTTGGCTGTTAAGTTAGAGTTCTTACACAATCCTGAGCAAACTCAAAGTTTGAGGTGTTCAATCACTATAACCAGACAGAAATTTTTCAACAAATTAATATTTTTCTTCTAGCCCCCAAATTAAGATAAAATGATTTCTTTCACAAATGACAGACTGATCAAAATAATTTTTAAATCCATACCTGTTGCACTGGGATGATGACCTGAGTTCAGGTCCCCTATACCCAAAGCCAGTAATATCCATTCATATCTGTGACTAAAGCATAGGGAGATCCCAGAGACTCACTGGCCAGCCTGGCTGGACTCTATGCTCAATAGACCTTGTCTCAAAGAATAATATGGAGAGCAATCAGGAAAGACATCCACCACCGACTTCTGGTCCCCAGACATGCTCTCCTCTCTCTCTCTCTCTCTCTCTCTCTCTCTCTCTCTCTCTCTCTCTCTCTCTCTCTCTCTNGTATGTCTGTCTTGTTTGTCTACCTCTATCTCTCTGTTTTGTGTTGTCCTTGTCTCTTTGTCTCTGTCTCTATCTCTTTCAGGCACATAACCCCCCATACATGAAAACCATTTCTTTGTGTATATGTGTGTTTGACTAATGAAAGTGCTTGTGTGTATGTCTGGAGACCAAAGGTCAATGCGGAATGTCTTTCTTTGCTTAATCTTTCACATGGTCTTTCACTGAATGTAGAGTACAGCTATACTATCCAGTAAGTCTGCATATGCTTGTCTCCAGTCCTTACGTAGGAGGCACCTATGTAAGTCATTGTTACTGACTTTTGGGGCAAGGGATCTGAATTAGGTTCTTTATCCCAGTGTGACCGGTCCCTTATTGACCAAAGCATCTCCCCAGCCCTGCAACATTATATTGCTCATATTTGATTTAGATTTGAGGTTCTATTGAACCCACATCAGAAGAAACAGTACTTTAAGATACCTGTTTGTTAGAGACAAGGTTCCACTCTATACTTCAGGTTGACCTGGAACTCACTATGTAGGCAAGGTTAGCCTTGAACTCACAGCAGTTTTCACACTGCAGTTTTCCAAGTGATGGGGTTATAGGTATGCCTTTCACACCCAGCTTCTTTTTAAATTCCAGAGATGAATATAAAAATGCTTATGGGAATATGTGCATATGAGTGTGTGTGTTTGTGGGTGTGTGTAAACAAACACATTTTCCTTTTTCTAAGGGCTAGTAGCAAGTAGTGTCAATTGTACTCAATGAATGCTCGTGACTTCTCACCTCAAGTCTGCATCCTCATAGTGTGGGTGGTTCACAATTGGATGCAGTGTAGATAGTTTGATGCTCGCCATCGTTTGCATAGCGCCTGCAAAGACAGCATCTGGGAAACAAGTTGACATTTCTTAGCAAAACATTTCAAAGAAAATAAAAAGTCCAATGTGCCCCTAATATTGGGATTCAAAATAAGAAAGATGAAGGGTCCTTACATAATGGCCACTGATACAGGTATTATTCTTATTCAATATCTATTCTTTGCCTTCTGTAATATTTAGCTTTTGCTTCACTGGTGGTAAGAGCTATACACAAGACTTTTAAATTTTATTTCACATTTGTTAATTTGGTGTGTTTGTGTGTGTGTGTGTGTGTGTGTGTGTGTGTGTACATGTATACATGTATACATGCATGAGAGGACAGGAGACAATTGTTGGGAATTGGTTTTCTCCTGCCAGATGAGGCCTGGGAATTGAAATCAGATCCTCAGAGTTGGTAACAAGTGCCTTCTTAACCCACTGAGCCTTCTCACTGACCCCATGCACAATATTTTTTTTATAGGGATCCAGTGACTTGGTTTGTAGGACAATGAATTCTGTTTTTCTTACTGTGGAGATAAATAAATAGGTACAAACATTGCAAAGCTAAGTGATCTTCCAAGACTAAACAGTTGAAACCTATCCAAATTCACCCTTCACTACTTCATCAAAGCTTCCTACTGCACTTCAAGAACCAGTACTACAGGGAGAAACTAGACAAAAGGAAAACTCCCCTGTAGTACTATGAACTATGCAAAAGGCCAATATCATAGCACATTTTTTCAAATTATTTTGTTGTTATTGTGAATTGCATTCATGTGGATCTGTTAGAAGATTTCGTTATTTTAATATTCATAATTCAGGGACTGGCGAGACAGCTCAGTTGTTCAGAGCTCTAACTTCTCTTGTAGATGACCTAGGTTTAGATTCCAGCACCCACGTGGAGGCTCACAACATCTGTGACTCTAATTCAAGGGGATTGAATTCCTATTCTGATCTCTACACATATCTGTATGAATGTTCTGCACATACATACAGGAAAATATGCATAGAGTTGTTCCTGTAATATTAATAATTAAGTTCATTGGTTGCCTTTTACATCTTATCATTTCTCCAGCTCTGCAAATCATTCATTACTAGTTGGTATACATTTTTGGAAGTATAAACTTGGACATAATTAGTTTTACATCAAAGTATTACACAAGCATAGGACATTTTATTTATTTCTACTGAAATCATTATTTTTTCCAAATATAACTAAGCACTCTAATCAAACACAACTTCATAAAAACATGTCAATAAATACGAAGTGAGGCAGGACAATAGTGCAAGCACAAGCAAACACATGCAAACTCACAATGAAAAAGCAAAATTGGCTAAAAATAACCTGTCAGGGCATCAAAAGCACAGTAACTATTGCCACACACTCAGGGCCAATCACAACAATCCAGCAGTGCCCCCAGTTTTTAAAGGATCAACCAAAAACATTCCTGAGGCAGCTTAGTTTCCCTAATCCCATATAAACCCCCAACTTTTTTTTTTTTATAACAAAGAGCTTTTACATTGGAATCTTTCAGAGTCTGCATCATTGCCTCTTCTCATCCCTGTTTCTTGGTCCCCCCACGGGAAACAGGGTTCATACAACAAGCAGCAGCAAAAAGCCTGCAACAACTGGCACCCACTATGGATGGACCTTTTCCTTTTGAGTACCTTTTGGGTCCTCCTTAATACTCTTTTATGGTCATTTTCTTTCTTGTTTGCTGCCCCCACTGCTGTCCCTGTCCCAGCTCTCCTCCGTGTCTTGAGTTCGCTGTTTTTGGTGAGTTGACCCCTCTTGGTAAGTTGGGGCTTTCTTTTCTATCCCTACATTTTCTTTACTTTCCCCTGTTTGAATTCCGGGTTAGGAACTCTCCATCATGACTCGGTTCGCCCCTGTATCTCCCCATAAGGGCTGACCACCTAGGAGGTAGAACCAATAAAGGACCATCCAACAGGTCCTTTTTGCTCAGAGACGGTATGTGAGTATATGGCCGCAGCCTAACAAACCGCAGAAGTCCCTCCCTATAAGCAGCACACTCGGTCCATGAACACTGCTTTCCAAGATACAATTGTTGCCGCTCACCTCTCATCTTCTGACCACTTTCTTCTTTGCTGCCGCCTCCTCACAGACTCTCCTTGTCCTCCTCCTGAGGCCCATCATGAAGAATGAAGAAGCCTTCCCTTCTCCACCACCCGCCTAAGTCCCAAGGGAGGGCTGCTGCCTTGGATCCTGTCCCACTGTTATAGCCTCTACCTGGCCTCTCAACCCACAGTATGCAGAGCCTGGAGCAGAAGCTGCCTTTTCTGGCTGTTTTGCTGAGCTATTCCTGCAGCGCTTCGAAGCTGAGGTGACCTGGGCTTCACTCACCTCAACTATCTTGGCCCCATTGAGCCCTGGTGTGGAAATTGCAACAAGTCTGCAACAACTAAGAGCCTAGAACCATGAGGAGTGTCAATATTATCCTCTAGTGATGGAGTGGCTCACTGGAGCTGACAGCATCCTAAGAGAATATCATGGCTAGATCTGGGGAAGATGACAATCAAAACTGAAACATAATTCCTACTGAATGTATATTTTTTCCAGACCGTTTTGAAGTAAGACAATTAAACCACTAAATACAGCTGGAATGCTTAGCTGTGTGTGACAAACAAACATGTATGTGTTCCTTATATTATATATGTATAACAACTTACCTGGCCTGGTGTTGTATCTGATCCAGTGTATGAGCTCTTCCTGAGGCAGGTTAGTAAACTCTCCCATGATGCTCCATTGGTAATGGAGGTTTGCACAACCTTGTATTGACATCATTGTCAGAATACCGAAGACAACATTCTCAAAATGAACTCTGCAAAAAAGCCAGCCAAAGAGCTGAAATAAAAAACCATTTATTTATATTTCTTATATGAAGAGTACTATTGGATCAAAAGTACATTCTCGCCTTCCTACTGAATCCAAAGTGGATTTCCCTTCATTTCAGTACAGACATACAGAATGCCCACTACTGCTTCCAAACAGCCAACATGCTGCAGTGACTGGCTTGGTTATAAATGAATTTTCTGTGTTATTGAGTGAATTGAGGGTCTTTCCAGGACTGATTTGCAGACAGACACTAGGATTAAGGAACTATACCTTGAAATATGCTATACTGAAATCTTGGCTGATTTTTTTTGTTTGGTTGGTTGGTTTTGTTTTTTTGAAACAGGGTTTCTCTATGTAATAGCCCTGGCTGTCCTGGAACTATCTCTTGTAGACCAGGCTGACCTCAAACTCATAGAGATCTGCCTGCCTTTGCCTCTCAAGTTCTGGAATTGAAGGCGTGTACCACCATGACCCAACCATTTGACTGATTTTTATGATGACTTGAGTAAGCAAAGGAAATCCCACTAGCAATGATGTGTATGTTCCTGACAGGAAAATGGGTGCTAGATTGTCAATGCCGAATGAGGTACATCTAGATGTACTGAGCGTCTATCTAGTTCCTGTAGTTGTCTAGATAGTTTATGTATCTATGAGCTTTAGTAAAGAATAGCAGAATGGAGAGTTTTTGAGGAATTCTCTTATCCAAGCAGGGCCACTCTGGATTTCCGCAGCATTGGAAATGTGCTGTTTATGGGCCCAACTCACTTGCACAGACTTAAATGCTAAAAGACTTTATTTGTAGACATGATGATAACAGGGAGCAAGGAATATTCAATTGCCCACCAAAAAAAAAAAAACATCATTCACAGTCTATCAGTATTTGTCAAAGCCACTCTCTTGCTGACAATGAATCAACCAACTGACATTTACAGTCATTGAACATAGTTAACTCAAAGCACTGATGTGTTCATATTTTGGATGACTCAGCAAAGTCATGACATCCCCACGGTAGTCGCTTTAGTTGTTCTAGTAACAGTCACTCAAGAATGGGTGGCTTACCCGTCGGGAGCAGATTAAAGAAGCCATGATGCACATGTGGGGTGTCAAAAACAGCTTCAACCGCATGATTAAAACGGCAAGAACTGTGAATACCAGCAACTGCAAGGTGTGAAAAATCAGCTGCAAAACACAAAATAGTCACCTAATGTATTTTATACATTATAAATTAACAGATCAAACTGAAGTGTCTTAAATTTTCTTATACAGGAGGGCAGAGATTTTCCAGCATAGCATTGATGTGCATTCGACTATTCAACTAAGATTTTGTAATATAATCAATGCCAGAAACTGTCCTGAGTGCTTCCCATAGGGTGTTGAGCAATTCTACCCTCATGAGGCTCATGTGCTACTGCATTTAGTGAGAAAGGGACACCAGTAACTCACTTTATATAAATAAGTTGCAATTGAGTAGACAGTGACAAGAACAATGGGCAAGAAGATGGAAGAGGGGAAAGAGCCAAGCAACAAAGACTGTGGGAAAGGCCACATGAAGACATTGTATCTTAAGGAGCAACAACACAGGGGGCAAAACTGAAAAAGTGACATCTGGAAAAGGATTTGATTAAGGAGGGGCAGAAGAAAAGGTGACAAATGCAGAAAGCTCCATATATGCACGCGTGTTTCATTAAGAGCTATCATTGTAGTACATAACCCAGGCTGTTTATAAAGGAGGATTGTCCTAGTGTTTGTGCTAGTCACTACTTCATTCTGCTTTAACAAGGCTGCAGGCTCCGCAGGCCAAAGACTTCAAGTAACTCTTTCCTGAGACTTTCATACAGCATAACCTTTACTAGAAACACATGAAGTGAATGTGGCAATAGCCAATGTAAATGGCAGCTAAATATTTACATCCTAATTCACCAATATTCAACTAAATTACAAATGTGTGGGGTAACAAATCTTTTTCTGTCTGGTCATTCAGCTCCCAAATAATGACACAAAGACTTCTTATTAATTATGAAACCTTGGCCTGTGGCCTGGGTTTGTCTCAACTAGCTCTTATAACTTAAATTAACCCATTTATACTAACCTACTTTCTGCCACGTGGCATTATCTTTCTTCCATCTTGTACCTCCTATTTTCTCTCCATGTCTCCTGGCTTCTCTTATGTACCTAGCTTCCTCCTCTTCTTCCGTACTCTCCCCGGAAATCCTGACTATGCCTCCTGCATAGCTATTGGTCATTCAGCTTTTTATTACAGCAAACACAACAGTACATCTTCACACAGTGTGCTAATACTCAACACAATGTGGTATTTTCATTTATCAAAAGGCATACAGTCATCTTGTAATTTAGAATGAAATGAAATAAACACTGAAATAGTAAAATGACCAACTTCTGTAATCCCAAGCTAAAAAGATCCTAGAGATAGCCAATTACTTTGACATACACATTCCTTCTAGGACTTTACGCAGGAAATGATCAAAACACACTGGAGGGTATTTTAACTGCCTCAACTGGAAACAGACTTTGTGAATAATATAGAAGAACAAATGACAGATATGCCACATGGCCAGAAAAAATACTATTAAAAGATTTTTTAATGGAATGCAAAAGGTTTTAGGAAACATGAATGGCTCCCTAACAGGTCTGAGTGGGTTTTGCCTTTTACCCTTCTCCCCTTATTAAACTGTGAGATTAAATCTTAAAGCTAGTCACCACGGTCTATTTTCTTATTTTGTCACTGACTTATTCCTAAGACAAAATGCCAAGTTCCAACAATCAAACTTCATTATTTGGATACACTGACTAACACATCCAATCAGGACTATCCATTCACCCTAACATAAACCTCCCCCTTTCCTCCCTTAAAACCTACTCCTGTAAAACAAAACAAAACAAAACAAAACAAACAAAACACCTGCTGCTGCTGCTTTCTGTCTGCCTCTGCCAGATCTATAGGCAGCCCCCATCCCAACTTGCCCTTCTAGGGTAATCAACCTTTGTAATGAGAGTTTGGTGCCTTGGTTTATCCCATACTGACTCCAGTGGGTTGCCCTTCCTTACAATACAAACTTGTGTTTATAATATTCTGTAAAATAAATGAATAAATAAAATGAAAACCCATGTATCTATAGCACAGAGAATAAGGAGGTTGATAAAGAAACACACCGAAAAAAAATCAAAGTTAAAGGGTTACTTCTGGCAATTTTTATCTGTTTTCTGAGTTGACTTTCAAATCATTATTACTATTCAATTTTGAGACCAAAAGGAAGAAGTCCCCAAAGAAAGTGAGTACCACTGCCCAAAGTTCAAGCAGCACGGATATGCATCGGCAGGAAGGTTGCACCCCTGCGAACTGTTCTTCAAGTAGGGTTTAACAGATAAGGCTACCAAGAATGAGAGCTTTTACCTCACCATTTTCAAGGATCTGTTTTCTGAAAGAAAAAAAAATGATCTGTTTACTGAACGCCCATTACAACATCATTACATAACGATAAAGCTGCTTATCTTGATCTGGGATTTTAAGTTCTTAATTCTTCCTAAACTGTGTAAAATACAAAATGTAAAACACTATATATGCTAATAAAATTAAAGAGTTTTAAAGACATAATTTATGATTGTTTTACGTATGGTATATGAAAAGGCTGATCTTTGATTAAGTTAGAATACGTTCTACTCATCCCAGGAGACTTTACCTCTGGAATGACATACTTCTGTTTAAATATTTAAGCTATGAATTATAAATGCAATGCTTTCAATGATTACCATTGAACTTTAGGCTTGTTTTAAATTTTCACAATTATAAACTACATGAATATTTTATACATACCTCTGTAAATATCTCTAAGGCATATAAATATTTTACCTCTGAAAGTCCCAATTTATTGACTATCTACAGTAACATACAGTGTTCTAGCTACTGCACAGCGAGTATACTATGAATAGTATAGAAATTATTTTTTATGTTCATAGAATTTATAGTAATCTGATACACAAATAAAAAATGTCTATTCTATTTCTCTACAGAAAGATGGTGCTTTATAAATGGCCTTACAGGAAGGGATATTTTAGGAGAAAGAGGTGAGATTGTGATTGGAGGGGATTCACAAGTGTAGTCCTCAAGGTGCTCACAGGTCTTCTGGAAGGCAGGAGAGGAATCCGATTACTCTGATCCTTGCAGCTTCCCACCTAAGCATTGAGGCAATGTTTTCTCTCAGCACTGAGAAAAGCAGTACAGAAAATTATTACCACTCCTGCTGCTGCAGCAATTGCTATCGTGTGGTTCTTAGGCCTTGGCATCTGGATAGGAGGATTGAGGAAGAAATAGGAAATTCACACTGGACATGCACTAGAACAGATCAGCCACACTGATGGGAATTTGGAAAAGAAGAAAATTGAGAGAAAAGTCAATACAGTTCTGACTCATTAAGTTTCAGAGAGGAACAAGGACTTTGTTGAGAACAGGAATGGAAGCCATTCATACATATTCTGGCATAGAATCTGATTACCTTTTGTCCACATACCGAGACTTTGAAGCTAAGTTCAATGTACTGTTTTGTTTTTTTTTTTAAATAGAGAAAACAAGATAATTCAGTGGGTAAATGTTCCTGCTGCCAAGACTGATGATCTGAGATTGATTTCCAGAACCTACACAGTAGAAGTAGAGAATCATCTCCTCAAGTTGACCTGTGACCTCCACAAGTTTGTCATGGTATGCACACACACACACACACACACACAAACACACACACAGCTGCCTATGCAACACATACACACATATAACAAATATGTAGTAAATGTAATAAAAAAACAAAATTTGCATTTTGATTGGAGACTAAACTGGAAATAAAAATTGAGAACCACCACCTCAGGAAGTATTCCCCACAGCCATGACAGGTTATTCCTGGAGATGCAGCAGCACTGGTTAAATTCATTCATCTGGCAATGGCTTTATAGGCATGAAAAAATGCAAGAGTAGAGGAATATGAAGCCACACCAAAGTTCCTGAAAACTGCTGAAGCCAGAAAGAGAGTGGAAGTATTAGAGTCCCCTCAAGAATGTCCTGAGACATCAATTCATTTGCATGTGAAGGTAAGCCTATGTTGAAATGGATACTGTGGGATGTCAGAGATGCTACACAATAAGAAATGTGCTGAGCATCCCAGTCTGACTTGTTCATTGACTAGTTCTTTTAAGGCCGCTATTTTAGGTTCTATTATGGATCACTGTTCCACCCAGATGACAGTATCAGAGAGCCAAGAAAGGGAAATAGGTCATGGAACCACTACTCTGAGGGCTCATGGCAGGCATGGGCCTTTAGAATTTGGGGTGTGCTGCTGGGTAGTCAGTGGGGGAGGAGTACCCCGAGAGGCCCACTTTGTCATGTATCATATCTTCAAAGAATGCCCTATCATCTGTGATCAAAACTACATGTCTTCTAAAATATCCTTGCCCCAAAGATTACAGGGGACATTGACCACGATAGGAGGGAAGGAACCATGGTTACCATCAAGGTCCTTCCAGTACACAGGTAAGACAGTAGTGCAATAGTCTAACTGGCTGCCCAGTAGAACCTTCCACAAGCAGACCAACACCACCATATTTGTCATCCACAAGAGGTCCGGTTGTTACTCCAGGACCTGTACGTTGTTGATGAAGAATGGAAAGAATGGGCACTGTATAGACTGGCCTGCCCCCTCCCAGTGCTATCCCCCTCCTCACCATATCTTTATCTTAGATAACAAGGACTTTTTCGTTTTCGATTACATTTGCAACATCAGATAAATGATGCTTTACCTTCACAGTCTGGGAGCTTAACATGCAGCAACTTGCCCAAAGATACCAATGGACAATCTTACCCCAAAGAATGAGGAACAGTCCTACTATTTGTCACTCTATGTTTCCCATCATTTCACAATGTTCCTAATGATGTCCATTACATGGACTACATCCTGCTGCTCAATATCTAAAAGGGTATCTTTGCCACTCCTTGAAGATTTGGTCATACTCAACCTCTGGGTGGCCCCTGAAAAGCTCCAGTCTTTTCCTCCTTATGCTTTTTTAGGATTTGCCATAGCTTGAAAATTACACCCCTTGTCTTTCAGCCTGACATTTGAGGACCAATACACCTTGGCAGATCTCCAACAACTCTGTGGCTCTATTGACTTAAGTTGCTTTTGCTCATTTTGGAGTGAGAGGTGAATTCCTTGTTTCCTCTACTTGATCTGCCCCTTGGCAAGGATAAGGCTCACATTTGTAGGGTAACCTCCCTTCTAACTGTAACGTCTTTAGTTAGACACAAGCCTCATAGGCCTCTCCTAGCAATCATACTTTGTACTACCACAGGTACTTTGGGAGAATTTGGCAATCAGGCTTTTTAATATGGGTACATCAAGTGTTCTTGTATCTACAAAAAAAATCATGTCAAAATTTGAAATGGTCTTTTGCCTCGCCCTTAAGGTACAAATGCTGGCCTAAAAGGCTACTTTTTTTGAGGCAAGTAGTTATGGAGCCTTTCCTGCAACTCACTCTGTAGACCCTGCTGGCCTCAAACTCACAGAGATCCTCCTGTCTCTGCCTCCAGAGTGCTGGGATTAAAGGTGTGTGCCACCACTGCCTGGCCCCTTTGAGTGCTGGTAGTCAATGAGGCAAGCCAATATAAGACTGGGTGCCCCTGAGGCAGAGTCAATAAGGCCAGGGCAATAGGTCCCTGACTCCAACTGAGTACACTTCATAAAAATAATTAAAAGGAGGGAATATGTAGGAGGAGACTAACAACCAGATCAGAGCCAGTCAAACATGCACATTATTAATTTCTTTAAGAGTCAACCAGAATTCTGGTTGATTGATGTCATGATGACCTGGGTCAGAGAGAGAGACAGAGAGACAGGCAGAGAGACAGACAGACAGACAGAGAGAGAGAGAGAGAGAGAGAGAGAGAGAGAGAGAGAGAGAGAATAATGCATTCCAGATTGGCACCACCCCTGGGTCCTGGAAGGGAGTATAAGAGGCCTGTCCATACCCTCAATAAAAGTAGTCGACATTGGCTTTTACCTGGCTCCCAAAGTCTGTGTTGTTGATTCTGCACCTTCTATACCCCTACCCCAAGATGCTACGCATCCCTTGTAACAACTGGGGACATTTTATATCAGCATTTCTAAGCATGAAGCTGTGGTGTTTATGTTGTTGCTATTTTAGGTTTTTCTCCATGCTGTAATCCTCTTGAACACTGTAAAGATTTGTCATTCAAATTGGTTTAATAAAATACAGACTGGTCAGTGGCCAGGTATAAATATAGGTGGGTCAACCAAACCAAAGATGATGGGAAGGAGAAGGGTGGCATTGGGAGATGCTGGTCAGATGCAGAGAGAGCAAGATCAGCATGCCATATTGAGTAAAGATACTGCCATGTGTCAGAGCATAAATAAGGAATATAGGTTAACTTGAAATATAAGAGTTTGTTAATTATAAGCCTGAGCTACTACTTGTCAGCAGTTAAATAAATAAATAAATAATGAAACAAATAAAATCTACTGAGGAAATCTGCATGAATGGATTGTAGCTGGGCCAAGAGAGGATCTAAGTATGCTACCAGAGGTAGAGATTTAGAGATTTGGGTACCCATGATCTTTGGAGCCCAAATGATTCCATAATGAGCACCACTTACCAGACACAGAGCTTTAGTTTGTAATATTTTTGTTGCTATCGTTTTAATCTTGCATTGGTAAAATATGTCTTTGTTATGACCCTACTCCTCAGTTTGGGAATGGGATCTTTTCTTCTGTGCCAGTTACTGTTAAACATATGTGTTACAATTGTTTATGCTGTGGAATATTTATCTTAATGATACAAAGATGTTTTGTGTTCTTTTCTGTTGCATTTGTTTAACTCTGTGAAGCTGTGATACTTTGCCTGTCTAAAATACCTGATGGTCTAATAAAGAGCTGAATGGCCAATACTAAGGCGGGGGAAAGGATAGGTGTGGCTGGCAGACAGAGAGAATAAATAGGAGAATTCTGAGAGAAGGAGTTGGACAAACAAGAGAGAAGAAGGGACAAGAACAAGGAGAGGAGGACACTAGGGGCAAGTTACCCAGTCACACTGCCAATCATGAAGTAAGAGTAAAAGTGAGATTAAAGAAGAATGAAAAGGAAAAGGTCCAGAGGCAAAAGGTAGCTGGGATAATTTAAGAAAAGTTGGCAAGAAATAAGCCAAACTAAGAATGGACATTTATAAATAATAAGAAGACTCTGGATGGATTTATTTCCGAGATAGGTTGTGGTCCCCCAAAAGACTAAAGAGCCAAAGAGTTGGAAAAATAACATTTTGGCTTATGAATCTGGAACCAAATTTTCAAAAGAGCCAAAAGAATAAAACAAACAACATTTTGGCACCTAGCATGTGACTGCATTTTCATGTAAGGTCTAAGAAATCTGGGGAAAAAAGAAATAAAGACAGAAATACAGACAGTAAGGAAGAAGGAAAGAAGGGAGTGAGGGAGGAAAGAAGGAATGAAAAGGACACGGCTCCCTTAAGAGATGCTGCTGTTCAACTGGCAGTGCTAAAGAGAAACTATAAATGGCAATGCAGATGCTGACTTCCTGCAGCAGGAAATGTTGAATGAAGTTCTCAGTTACAAATGTCCCTGTGAACTTTAGGCTTGGCTTTCTCAACCCAAGAAGTGGCCCAAGTCAGTCACCAAAGCTCCTCAGAGGTGCTAGCCTCACTGCTTAGCATCTTTTTGCTCATTTAGATGAAAAAAAAATCTAAAAAAATGCAGTAAAAGAGATCCAGATGGATAAACCTGGTAACAGGTTCCAGTGTATTTTACAATAACCTTCCTCAAGATCCAGTAATATCACTTTTGGGTATATATCCAAAGGATGCTCAATCGTGCCACAAGGACATGTGCTCAACTATATTCATAGCAGCTTTATTTTTCACAGCCAGAATCTACAAACAACCTAAATGCCCCTCGACCATAGAATGGACAAGGCAAATGTGGTATATTTACACGATGGAGTACTACAGTGCAGAAAAAAATGACACCTTGAATATGCAGGAAAATGGATGGAGCTAGAAAACATTATTTTGAATGAGGTAACCCAGACACAGAAAAATAATTATCACATGTACTCACACATAGGTGGTTTTTAAACATAAAGCAATGAAAACCAGCCTACAAATCACAATCCCAGATAACTTAGACAACAATGCGGACATTAAGAGAGACTTACATAGATCTAATCTACATAGGAAGTAGAAAAAGACAAGATCTCCTGAGTAAATTTGGAGCATGGGGACCTTGAGGGAAGTTTGGAGGGGGTAGGGAAAAGGCAGGGAGGGGAGCAGATAAAAATGTAGAGCTCGATAAAATTAATAAAAAAGAAAAATTATAATCACAAAAGACAATCCTATTACCATTAATTAGGAGACTTAATATTGGTAAAATGCCCATATCATCCACATTAACCTACATATTCAGTACTATATTAAAACCATCATGTATTTTTTGAATAAAGAGAAATAATCAACTCTAAGTATGAAACCACCAAAAAACACACATAGCCAAATCAGTTTTGTGCAGGAACCACACTTCTTGTTTTCCATAAGATTATCAAACACAGTATACCACCAAGGCTCAAGGCACATCACAGAAGAGGGTTGAAAGCTCGTAAGAGCTTAAAGATAGGAAAAAAGCTATGAAATGCTATTCTAGACATAAAATGGCAGTTGCACACATAAACTCAAAGTAGGTGATGTTACCTTCACAAATCTATTTGAAATACAACCAATTAAAATGAATCAAAGACCTCAATATAAATCTGACCTCACTGAAGCTAATAGAAGAGAAAGTGGAAAGTAGCCTTCAATGAATGGGCACAGGAGACCACTTCCTAAATATAGCACCAGAAACACAGACACCTAGAACAACAATAAATAAATGGGACCTCCTGAAACTGAGAAGCTTCTGTAAAGCAAAGGACAGTCAATAAGACAGAAAGGCAGCCTACTGAATAGGAAAAGATCTTCACCAACCCCACATCAGAGAGAACTGACCTCCCAAATATATAAAGAATTCAAGAAATTATACATCAAAATTCTAAATAATCCAATTACAAAATGTGTACACATCTAAACAGAGAATTCTCAACAGAATCTCAAATGGCTGAAAGACACTTAAGGAAATGTTCAACATCCTTAGCCATCAGGCAAATGCAAATCAAAACGACTCTGAAATATTATCTGATACCAGTGAGAAAAGATAAGATTAAAAAAAACACCAATGATATGTCATCCTGGAGAGGATGTAGAGTAAGGGGAACACTCTTCCATTGCTGGTGGGAATGCAAGCTTGTATAATCCCTTTGGAAATCAGTATGGCAGTTTCTCAAAAATTTAGAATCTACCTACTTCAGGACCCAGCAATACCACTCTTAGGCATATACTCAAAGGACACTCAATCATACTACAAAGACATTTGCTCAACTATGTTCATAGCAGTATTATTTGGAATAGCCAGAACCTGGAAACAACCTAGATGCCCCTCAACCAAAGAATGGATAAAGAAATGTGTACATTTGTACAATGGAGTACTACTCAGCAGTAAAAAGGAAAAAATCTTGAAAATTGCATGCAAATGAATGGAACTAGAAAAACCTATCCTGAGTGAGTTAACCCAGACCCAGAAAGAGGAGCATGATATGTACCCATTCATTAGTAGATATTAGCTGTAAAGCAAAGGATAAAGAGCCTATAGTCCACAACCCCATAGAAGCCAAGTAACAATGAGAACTCTAAGAGAAGCATATATAGATCCCCCCCCCCCCGGGAAGGGGAAATAGACAAGATCTTCTGAGAAAATTGGGAGGTTGGGGAAGGGTGGAATGAGAGGAGAAGGAGAGAAGGGTAGGGGAGAAGAACGTGAGGGAATGGGATAGTCAAGAAGGGGAAAGGACAGAGATAGAGAACAAGGAAAGAGACATCTTGATTGAGGGAGACATTATGGGGCTAGCAGGAATCCTGGCACTAGAGAAATTCCCAGGAATCCACAAGGATGGCCTCAGCTAAGACCCCAAGCAATAGTGGAGATGGTGCCTGAACTAGCCTTGCCCTATAGTCAGATTGATGACTATCTTAAATGTCGCCATAGAACATTCATCCAGCAACTGATGGAAGCAGAGGCAGAGATCCACAGTGGAGCAACTGACCGCCCAAAGTCCAGTTGAAGAGTGGGAGGAATGACAATAGGAGCAAAAAGGTTAAGACCATGATGGGGACACCCACTGTAACAGTTTACCTGAGCTAATGAGAGCTCACTAACTCCAGCCAGTCAGAGAAGAAATCAGCATAGGACCAAACTATTTCCCTCGGAATGTGTGTGACAGTTGTATGGCTGGGGCAGACTGAAAGCAGTCTATTTTCAAGAAGCAAAAGTAGAGGGTGAAAAGTATTGGTTGCCATGAGTCTCAGATAAGCCTTGGACTTCAGACTTTGTATTGTGTTTGAATTACTAAAGACAACGAGTACTTGAAGACTGATGAGTGTGTTTTATATTAAGAGATGCCATGAGTGAATGGAAACAAGAGATAACGTTATGTCTTAAAACTGATATATTTGGGGGATCAAGTTGTGATGATTCAGATTGTCATCTTGACAGTATTTAAAATCACCATGGAAACAAACAAATCATTGGAATGCCTATGAGAGAAGATCTAGATCAGGTTAATTATAGTGGAAAACCCCCTCCTAAATGTGGGTGCACTATTACATTGCCGGGTAACTCAAAGGAGAAGGCCTGAAGTGGACAAGCATCACCACTCTGCTTTATGGCTGTGCAGGCGGTGTTCCACTGCCTGCTCCCTGTGACCATGATGGACTGTGTCCCCTGGAAAATTAGTACAATAAACCCTCCCTGTCTTATGGTATTTTGCTATAGCAATGAGACCAGTAACTACCACAATGATCTCTGTGTACAACAGGAAGCTATCTAAGGCATTTTGAATAGTTTTCTTTTTTATGTGGATAATATATGTAACCAACAAACGAACACAGAATACCAGAAAGTTTCATATAGTTTTGACTATATAGACATTTCAAAATTCACATATATTAGGAATTCATTCCTTGCTTCAAATTATATTAGGTATGGATAATATATATATATATATATAAAGTTTATTGTCTAAGAAGAAATAAATCACTAAGAATAATTATACTAAACAGATCTTGAAAAAGATCTAAAACTTCACTTTCAGATATGTAGTCAATAAAAGACTCCCCTATTCTGAATTAGTGCCTCCCATCCACCTGCCCTCACAAGCCTTTCTTCTTCCACGTTTCATCACTTTGCCAGTATCTGAGGACAGTTTTCACATCTCTATCAGTAATGGTTCATACAGTGAAATGTTCCACGTCCCTTCATTCATTCTTATGGAAGGAATTATCAAGGACACTAATTTAGCACCACACACATCTCCAGCTTCCATCTGACACACACGAAACAGAGGGTGTTTATTAGCTCCCTGGTTTGGAAACCATTGCAGCAAGTGCACTCGAGGTCTTAATAGCTTCACTGACAACCTCACAAAATCTGCTAATAAAAACACAAGCATAGAGTACACAGGGCTTGAAAGAACACTCAGCATGGTTGGTACAATATTTCTGAAAATATAAACTATCCAAAAATTAAAAGATATTAAGTAAAATTAACTGATATAACTACTATTATTAAACATAGTTTGAAATAACGTTTCTTCAGAAGGTATTTTTCTAAGTTATTTGTGATACAAGTTATATTATATTTCATTGGCTCCAGTCTGTGCCCTGATTACAACAATTTTACTGAAACCACTAAGGATGTGATACTACAAATATTTTAAGAAATAATTTTGGTAAAACATTTAACATTTAATAGTTATATAGAAGTATAACAGTTGTTTCTTTTCTGAAAGTTAGAAATAATGATGGCTCAAATAAAACAGGTTATTTGTTTATGAAATTTAAACTCTCATGATATATATATACAAATTAAGTAAGTTTAAAATTTTAATTATTTCGAAGCATAAATATACCTAAAGCAATTTTGAATAGATAGTCTAAATCCATAAGAGTAACATTTTTTTAAAAATTAAATTTATTTCTTATTTCCTTTTTTGATCATAATGTTGAAGTAAACAGTCATTCAAAAATTAATATTTCAATAAGTTACTTAATAATGAACATGGTAGGATTAAAAAAAAAACTCTGAAAGAATTACCTTAGGTAAGTGTTTGTACATAAGACACATATGATATCACGAGCAATCTGTAAACAGAATCAATCAATGAGACTTTATGACGTACTATAATATATGAAAACATGAACTCATTAGTATAAACCTCCCGTACCACCAAGGTTCTTTTCCTTTGCTTTCTTCATTTGTTTTCTTTCGTCTTTTTGGATATAAACGTATCCCTCGCCTAGGTCACCCTGGAACTAATGATCCTTGTGACTCAGCCTCCACATCCTGAGATTACAGGCATCACCATGAAAATCACCTTCTTAATGTTAAAGCCTCTGTAATAGATGGCTCCCAGCTTTAAATCATTAACTTATGATAGCTTCTTGGTGTATTCAGTGAAAGTGGTAGAATAAATCTTACATCTATTTCAGCTCTAAAGCACGTAGCTTGGGTAAGTACTGAAACTATTTTAGCTGGGCAGCGGGGTGGGGGGAGTCAGATTACCTAAAACCTATTCCAGGCACCATAGCTGCCACAGCCCTCTCTTCCTCTGGTTCTTCCTCTTCCCTGCTCATTTATATTCCTGTTTTACTCCAACTCTAGGTAATTATTAAATAAGTTATTGATCCATCTGCTTTCTTAACTACTCTCAATTCAAGGTAGCTGCTATTGGAGGATTATTAGTTCTCACCAGAAAGTACCAGATGATGAAGAGGGAAGGAGGAAATGTGTAAACAAAGCTGGGCCACAAAGGATTTACCGTGTAAACAAAAGAATCCATGGATACATAAAAGTTCGTACTTCATAAAATAGCTTATAACCCAAATGAATATGTAAATATAGTTAGCTGAATAGATACTTAATCTTTAGAAGAAATAAAATTTAAGTGTAAAAATTTGAATTTCATTTATTAATTTAAGAGCATGTTTCATAGAAAAATATTTCAAATTCAAGGAAAACTTAAATGTAATATTAATTTAATATGTATCAAATAATATATATAATTCTAGTCACATATTCAGACAATATGAGGGTATCAATACAAATATCAGTTTGTAGGAATTTAATATTTATGCTCTCTCAGTAGAATCAAATTACATACATCATCCTTCTATGAGGTTCTTTTATACAAGTGAAAATCTAACTGAATATCAGCTATATCCATAAAGTGAAAAATAAGCCATACAGGCAAGGTAAGAATGAAGAGTTGACAAGGAAACAGAAAGGAGTGGAGCTTTAGTGGCTACAGGTGTGTGCCTCTGTGTGTGCGTCTCTTTGTGTGTGTGTACATATGTGTTTATGTACACACCAGTTTAGGCTTTGCAGTATTTGAATACTAATAAAATATTTGAGAGTATCTGTGTTTGATTAAAAAAAAATAGCATAGCTATCCTCTGCTGCACTTCAATCAACAGTTACTTCACACTTTAGTCTCTAAGTTTATGTTGAGCCTGGCAAGAATGCCATGGTCTACTTTGATGGAGTACAGAAACACACACTGTAAAATATCTCCACTTTGAGCATGGTAGACCGGGGCACAGGAGAACAGTAGCCTTCTTGTCATCCAGCCCATTCATCTTCCCCTCCCTTCTGACTGCCCCAGTGGAAAGGAGCTAAGTCAGGTATAGACTTGGAGGGCAGTGGCTTCTTTATTCAAATGATTACTCATATTCTATGCTGAAAGACAGGGAGAAGAAATAGGGCACAGGGACATGAAAAAGACATGCAATTTTTAACATTAAGTATATAAAACTCTTTCAATTAGACCACAACTGGAATTGTGGGTAAGGAATCATGTTATAGCTTCTGCTAAACAGGGAAAAACAAACCTAGGTTGACTTAAGACACTACTAACAATATAAATAAAGATGGCTCCTGTATGCTAAAAGTGTGGTGGTGCACGCCTTTAATCCCAGCACTGGGGAGGCAGAGGCAGGCGGGTCTCTGTGAGTTCTAGGTCAGCCTGGCCTATAAAGTGAGTTCCAGGACAGGACTGTTTCATAAAAGAAAGGAAGGAAGGAAGGAAGGAAGGAAGGAAGGAAGGAAGGAAGGAAGGAAGGAAGGAAGGAAAGAAGGAAGGAAGGAATTGATTCTCCAATATACTAAAAGTAACCATGAGGATTTCTGTCATTAAAGTCTTAAACCATGAAAATATGCTAGTGAAAATTTAAAGATAGTTTCTTTTAACACGGCAAGGTCTTTTGATGTAAAAATAGCGCATGTGTAAGGAAAGATTGTTTTGGTGCTTCTGTAGCTTTCTCCTACGCACTGCACATCTACTCAGAGTAGATGAAGACTTTGAATGTGCTCACACTACTTCTCACTCATGCCACACAACTACGACTTTATTCTTTAGCTACTTGTGCGGTGTTTCACACTGCGTGCTTGGTCAGGGAGTGGCCACGTTTGGCTTATCCATCATGCTTTCAAGTAAATGCAGTTCTTTACATATAGTCAGTGTTTGGTAAAATTACCTTTGAAATAATAAAGCATCTTTAATAGTGTGATTTTTAAAGTTTAATACCAAAACCACCTGAATAAAATTATTTAGACAGAAAAAAGAATTAAACCTAAAAGTAAGAAGGGATTTGAGCAATTAGCATTAATTTATTATAGTTCTTTTCTTGAAACCACACAAAGTGTTAAATCTTTACATACCTTTTTAAAGATAAAGTACGTAATCACTATAACAAGTGGAAGCAATAATGTCTTTGTGTATCTCAGTGGAGTCTAAAATACAGCAAAAGATTAAAAATGGTTAATTATGAAATTTTACTTTGAAGCAGTAAATATGTCAAACTGAGTGTCATAATGTTATTTACTAAAGTTTAAATTTTCTTGTCTTTAACAAAATATATGCTTATTAATTTCCAAAAAATAAAACAATTAAAATCGTTATAAAAACCATTCAATGAAGACAGCAGCCTAGAAGCTGTTCTATGACATAGTTAAGTGGAAAGCTTTAAGAGTAATAGGCTCTACTCCATGGGCTGAGAGGGCCTTCAGAAATTTACAAAAGTGGTGAAAGACCAGTTGAGATGTACCTAGAACACTATCATTGTATGTGGTATGAATGGTCTGCATAGGTTCATTTGAATGCTCAGTCATCAGGGAGTGGCACTATTTCAAAGGATTAAGAGGTGTTTTTAATAGAAACTGTGTCTCTGGGGTGGGGTGGGGTGGGGGACTTGGAGGGTCCAAAAGCCCAAGCCTGGTCCCAGTGTTTTTCTTGCTTCTGCTGCCTGCAGATTCAGACAGAGAACTCTCATCTCTCTCTCCAGCATCAAGTGTGTCTGTATGCTGCCAAACTTCCTGCCACGCTTCCCACTATGATGATAATGGATTAAACCTCAAAAGCTGTAAGCCAGACCCAATTAAATGCTTTCTTATGTAAGAGTTGCCGTTGTTGTGATGTCTTCTTATAGCATAGAATACTGACTAAGACAATGTACCAAAAATTAACTTCAACTTTGTCGTTACCTGGTAGGGAGAGGGCAAGAAAAAAAAAGGCTCATCCAAAAGGAAGGCCAGCTGGCCCTGGCTTTAAGAAAATGACTGGCAGTCCTACCCTTCAGAAAAGCCCCCAGCCCTCACATGATTCAAATATTAGACTTGAAGCTTTGAAATTGCTTGAGGGAAATATAGATAAAATTTTGAATGTCTCAGCATAGCAAGGACTTTCTGCAAAGGATGCCAATAGCAAAGGAAATAATGCCAAGAATTAACAAACAGGCTATGCAAAAATTTTTAAATTTCTTCATGAGAAAGGTAACAATTGCCAAAGCAGGCAAGAGTTTAATATCAAATTATATGAAGGACTTAAAAATAAACACTAAAATATCTAACTAATAACTTGAACTGAATAGGTAGTTTTCCAAAAGAAGTGGAAAAGACAATGGGTTTTGAAAAGGGGTCCATAGTCATATTCTTAGCCATCTTGCTCCGTCAGAATAGCTCTCATCAAGAAAACAATGTTGGCAAAGGTGCAGACAAAGGGGAACCTACTGGCGGGATGGAAATCAGAGCAGCCACAATAGAAACTAACAGATGTCCCTCAAATATCTAGAAGCAGAACTATCAAAAGATCAGTACATCACATCTGTGGCATAGCCACAGAACTCTGAGCCAGCTATCACAGAGATACGAGCACATCCATGTCTAGTGTTTCACTATTCACAAGAAAGGGAACATGATTAGGTTTTTATCAACAGATGAGTGGATAAAAATGTTATGATGATACAAAGTGGAACTTTATTCAGTAGTAGAGAATATTGAAATCATGACTTTGTAAGAAAATGGATGAAGTTGGAATTCATTTCACTTATGAAATATTGGTATCTGTGTTTGTCTGCTGTGTTAGTCATGATAGAAGAAAGGGGACTATGGTAGGGGACGAATGTATTTTGTTGGAGGAGGGTAGAATTAATGAACATGTGTGTCATGAAAGTAGAGAAGGTTAGCATTTTCCAGATGAAGGAGCCAGTAACAGTGAGCCAGGGAATATGGAGTAGAGCCGTGGGCTAGGGGATAAATAAGAAAAAAATGTTAGGAGCTACACATATAAAAATAATTTTAAAATCTATAATTAAACCCATTATTTTTTATCTTAATTTGGAGATTAACTAAACAATTAATAGGCAAAAATTATCCATAACATCTATGAACCTAGATTTGATTATGCCTACATATATTTTTCTTTCTTTTAGGTGGTATTTTTCTACATATGAATAATGCTAGATTTTATGTGTATTAATAAGTACAGGTCCTACAGTCTCACTTTCTATACTGAAAAGTTCTATTATTTTCATGATTGTTTCTTGAGCTAAGAAAAAATTACACCAGAGTAACCACAGAAAGTAGAGAGAGTGCAGAGTGTTACCAGGCAGACAGTTCTGTACACCAATTCTCATATGAACTCACTTGACACGTTACTAATTATGCTTATATGTCATATGTGCAAGAAACTCCCACTCTGAAGTCCTACTGTGACCTGTCCAATAGATAGCTGTCAACAACAGTTTCTGAGTTAATGGGTAAGAAATAATAAGATTTCATTACTTTGTTAACTTAGAATTCATAGGTATTAGGCAAGAACAGATTCCGAGACAACATTTTTATAGTCTAAGAAGAAAACTAAGCCTCACTCTGAGGCTGTGCATTGAAGAAGTGCACTGCATTGGGGGTTCAATGACCCAATAGAGACAATGTGCCTAGTTTTCTTCCACTGCACATGCAGAATTATGTTACATGGTTACATCCTCTTAGTCTATGATCTTACAGCAAAGCAATGTTTTAACACCTTTGAGTCTGAGCCTTTTCAAAGGTGAATGGCATGCCATTCTATAACTTAAACTGTATTTCTTCACTAAGAGTCACTAGCAGTTTGTCTATCTAGGCAATAATCTGTTACAAGTTTTATTAAAGTGATTTTTATTGAACTCTACATTTTTCTCTCCTCCCCTCCCTACCTCTCCCCCCCTTCAATCCTTTCCCAAGGTCCCCATGCTCCCAATTTTCTCAGGTGATCTTTACTTTTTCTACTTCCCATATAGATTATGTATGTCTCGCATTGTTGTCTAAGTTCTCTGGGATTGTGATTTGTGGCTGGTTTTATTTGCTTTATGTTTAAACACTTTTTTTAATATTTAGGGTAATAATGCAGTACGAGTAACTTTCTTAAAGAAAAAAGTTTTTAATATAATTTTTCTACCTGGTTTCTCAGTGGCACTAGTCAAAGGAATTTTTTTTGACTAGCTATGATTACTTTGATCAGACATTTAACCTAAATTAACTGCTTTAGCCATTATCTAGAGTTCTTTTAGAAACAGACTATTAGGCATTGGTTTTATAGGTAAAATTGTTGAAAAATGCCACATGGCTTACCAACAATACAGGAAATAGAATAAGTCAGGTGTTTCCAAATTGGTATTTCAAACCAAATAAAAAAAACCAGCAAAGAACACAATCATTATATGTGCAGAGAATAAAAGGAGAAAAACATTCATACCGCTTGTTCCATGAAGTCAAATTCAGGAGCACAGGTGTATATTAAGGTATCAAAATCTGTGTATCTTAAGATTCTGGCTGTTATAAGGTCACTCAAGCGAATCTGGAAAAAAATAAAGCAAAATGAACAAAAATTACATGGATAAATGATATTGTCCAAGTGTAATAGAGTAGATGAATCCAAGATGCAGAGGTGTGCCTCCACATCAAAAATCAAATATATAGAAATGAATATATTCAGCAGTGGCTTATAAGACTACTGAAAATAAATAGGAATATCAAGTGTGCTGGTTATTTTTTTGGCAATTTGACAAAAACTAGAGTCTTTTGGTGCCACTTCCACAGCAGTGACTGCCGTGTAGTGACAAAATGCCTCTGCTCTGGCTTTTGCCTGCTGAAGGATTGGGGTTAGAGCTTCCTGGAGCGAAGCCCCAGGTGGTCCCCCTGGCAATCAGCGGTCGAGATAGGACCTGATGCCATAGGCA